CGAGGAGGGAATCACGCGGATACTGGGGGGGAGAAATGGGAATCGGGGACAGGCAGGGATTTGCAGGGTGTCGCAGATTAAATTCTGCCACTGCAGCGAACGGGGTGCGTGGGCAAGAGGCGACAGCGGTGCCTCCGTATCCTTGCCGCCCGCTCGCTTTGCACCGAGCTCTCCGTCTCGCAGCGTGCAACCGCCGTCTACGGGGCTCGCTTTACCTCTTCCTCTTTAAGCACCGAGCTGCGGTGCCAGGAGTTGGCAGATATCTTGTGTGCAAGCTCAGCTTCCTCCGCGCGAGCTGTCCCTGCACTCCCGGCACCCCACATCCCCGGGGAGCGTTGGCTTTGCAGCCCTTGGGGATTAAAAGTGGGTGCGTGGTGGGGGAAAGAAAGGGGATGGAGCAGGTTTGAATGGAAATCGTGGTTTTCCTGCCGGGGATCGCGGCTCTCTCCTCTTCCCGCTGGCGGAGGAGCCAGCCCTCACTCCATTCCTTGCGGGAAAATGGAGCAATTGTTTCCGGGCCAGCATCCCAGGCTGGGAGGGCGAGGGCTGCCAGAATTGCCGGCCGGCAATTCTGGCAGCCCTCGCCCTCCCAGCCTGGGATGCTGGCCCGGAAACAATTGCTCCATTTTCCCGCAAGGAATGGAGTGAGGGCTGGCTCCTCCGCCAGCGGGAAGAGGAGGAGAGGCAGGGGGAGGCAGGAGTCCCTGGTATGGGGAGCGCGCTGCCCTGGTGGGAGCGGGGATGCTGGGCTCACCCCTGCCAGAGGTTTAACCTTTGGGAAACATCTGTGCGAGGAGGAGGATGGTGTGGGATGAAGCAGGGGTGGGAGCAGAGCCTCCCAACGCCGTGGATTCGGGGGGCTCGGGCACCCCTTCGTGCCCAGGGCTGTGGTGTCCCCTGGGGCCATGGGGTGACATCCCGCTCTCTCCTTCCAGGCTGACACCCAGATGCAGCACCCGGGCAGGGTCTCCTTCAAGTTCATCGATAAGATGCAGTTGGTGAGTGGCTCCTCGCTGGAGGACAGAGGGGCTGGGGACCAGGGCTGGCTGGTGCACGGGGGGATGTCCCCAGGGTGCTTTGGGATCTCCATATTAGAGTGCGTCCCCTTGTCCTGAGGCCCCATCTCCCCTCTCTTGCTCTCCTTTGCGGGAGGCAGCCCAGGAGGGACCCATCCTGCCTGGCTGGGTGGTTGAGTCCCATCTTGGGCAGCCTGTGAGACCATAGAGAGGCATTTTGTGACTCCGTGCCTCAGTTTCCCCCCGGCAGAGTGGGACGGGTGCTGCTGCCTCTGCCCATCCAGTAACCGGTCTCGCTTTTTTCGGCTGGGGGGTCCGTGTCCTCGCAGAACGACTCCGTCTGCTACGTGAAAGCCGCTTTTCCTCTGCTGGGCAAGATCCTGGAGAGAACGGAGTTCAAGGAGAACTCGTCCAACGCCAAGAAGATGCAGATGGTGCGCAGGATGTACAGCCGCATCGACGAGAACGTCGACCCCTGCATCAGGGAGGAGGATGATGAGGAGAGACAGGTACGGCAGCCCCTGCTTCGTGGAGTGCCAGATCTGCGGGGTGTGGGTCCGAGTCCTCAGCCTTGGGCAAAATGGGGTGTGCGGAGCGTCCTGGGGTGGGGGTGTGGGCAGGAGCTTGGAGTGGAGTGGAGATGGGGACGGGGAGCCATGGGAGGGGTCCAACCCTGCCCTGGGTCGAGTGTGGTACCCCGTGACGGTGACACTGGGTGCCCAGCGCGGTCATGGAGCCGATGCTGAGCCCAGCTCTTCCTCCAGCTCTCACAGATGTGCTTCGAGGAGTTCACCACCTCCCCCTACGAGATGCTGGTGCTGGTGAAGGAATTCTTCCAGGACATCAACCAGCTCCTCCAGAACCAGGAGACCTTCGAGAAGGACTGCAGCCAGGTCTACCGCAGGACCTGCTCGGGACCCAGGGAGACCGGATCCTCACCAGGTGAGACGCCGAGGCTTTGCCTCTGCCCGGCAAACCCGTGCCGGGCTGGGAGCTTGGGCTCGCCTGCATGGAGCAGCTTGACAGCCGTGCGTGCCCGTCGGTGGGCACACGCGGGCGCCGTGGGCACGGCACGTGTCTGCG